GCCTTTCTCCAAGTCCAAGGCGACGGCCTCGCCACCCTTCTCCTTGCCTTTGCCCTTCTCCACGGAGCCACCCTTGTCCTTACCTTTGCCTTTGTCCAAGCCCAAGGCGACGTTGTCCTTGCCCTGGCCCTTGGAGACGAAGTCGGGTAGCGGCCGATAGGGCTTGGGCGGACCACGAAGGCCACGAAGCGAAGTCGTCTGCCCAGTCTGAGTTGAGGGCATCTAAGAACATCACTAAGTCACTACCGACATGACTGAAACCTCCGAAATGTTGGACAAGGGACAAAACTTACGGAGCAAACCAAGAGACCGCCGTGTGGTGCTGCACGTACTGGGCATACATCGCGAGCTCGGGATTGTGGAAGGCGTACAGGGTCTCCCACTGCCGCAGCTGCGCGATGAGCCGCTCCAGGTTCTCAGTGGAATGAAGGTCCGGTTGATTTGAAACATTCAACTAAGTAGTTCGGTCTTTGGTTTGTTATAGAAACCTTGATAAACACAGAAATTAATATTTACCCCGCCCCGCCTGCAAGGAGTCTCTTGCTTCACCCTGGCTCGTCGGCGTGCGAGGATCGGCCTCGACGCCGGATATCGCGGTCGGGTTTCCTCCATGCTGCTTGGCAACCTGAGTTGTCCACTTTAAGCCCTTTGAAAATTATTTACTATTATGGCTCTCTACAAAATAGTATGAGAAATCAAAAAGAAAGATCGCAAAAGACAACCCAGCGACACCGAAGTCGTCCGAAGACAACATCCAGCAAACTCTCGTCTTCAGGGACAAGAACGCCTGAAAGCGACTCGTCCACTCCTGGAAGATGTCACCCGAAGACGAAGACGAAGCCGAAGGCACAGGCGGAGGTGGCGGAGGGTTGAAGTGCAAGTCCGCGACTGCGACGCCTGAAAGGAAAGAAATTCTGGACCATTCCAGCATTTTATTATGATCATTACTGAGTGTTAAAACGACTCTGTCGTCGCTCCTCCAAGCTTCGGGTCAGGCGAAGGCGAAGGCGAAGGCATCGGCGGAAAAGGCTCTGCAGTTGGCCCTGGCGTGGCAGGAGGAGGAGGAGCTGCCCCGATCGGCTTAGCAGCAGGAGGAGCTGCCCCCACCGGCGCCGCCTTGCCTTGGCTTTCATTATGACCTTGAGTACTTATCATACCCGGCATACCCATACGCGACTATTCACACCGATCTAAATCTACTTCAAATGCCAAGTCTCCTTTATTTGCCGCAGCCTTTGCCAGCCAAGCTTGTCGCTTCTTGCTCGTGTTCGAATTGGGATTCTGGGCTGGTGAACTGGCTCAGAAGAATTCTTGATCTTACAAAACAGTTGGAGAGCTGAGAAGAAGCATTTAGAGACCGCCAGCCGAGGTTCTCTTGCACTCCCAGACGAAGACGAAGCCGCAGGCGGGCCAGTCGAAGCCGAAGCTTTGGGGCCAGACACCGAGCCAGCTGACGAAGGCGAAGCCGAAGCCGCGGAAGCCTTGCCAGCAGCCTTGGGAGTCGCAGCAGCCTCGTCCCCAGCAGCCTCGCCCTCGCCGGCAGCACGGTCCTCACCAGCACCGCCATCGCGCAGGCGTTTTCGCGGCATGGAACTCTAAGCCCCCAATCTTTCAAGAAAGCTCTCAGCGAATCTCCGAAGTGACAAAGGGATGTCTGAACAGGCCCGGGTGTTCAAGGGAGTCCAAGCTAGGGATGGGACAGCCTGAAGAAGAGCTGTGATTTGTTGATGCTTAGATTTGGGGCTTGGAGTTTGGGGTGGTCTGCACCCTGGATAGATAGGCCTTCAGTGGCAAGTCAGCTAGGACTGGAGTCTTGCATAGCCCCCGTGCATCTCATGTTCTGCTCTTGATCCCGAGCTGTGTCATAAAGGCACACAATGTCTTCAGACCCTGAACCCTCTACTATCGGAGCACGACTGAATGCCCCCCCGGGCTCCCTTAGCCATCATATTAACGACTCAAGTGGTTCCATGCAAGTCCAAATGTCCCGTGAGGTATAACAAGAAAGCTACATGCCAAAATACACCTTTGCTATGTTACGGGGTTGCAAGCACTTCCAAACTTAAGCTGTGCTGAATCGAAGTTCAAATGTAGCACTGCAATGGACCAATGACATGGGTTAACGAACGCGACTTATTACTATTCTCTGTCCAACCGAGATTGCCAGGCCTGGTCGAAAACGAAATCGAAGTCCAAGTCATCATGATGGCAAGACCTAGCAGGACATTCGGGTGATAAGATTGCATCTGTACGTGGACGGACTTGTGAGTTGCAAGCTGAGTTACAGGCCATTTGGTCGACCCCAAGGTCTGATCTGACCTGGCACGAGAGTCACTGATAAATTAAGGGGCAGTGCACAATTGTCACAACTCGATATCATGCTTTGCACGCATTGGCACAGGCACTTTTTTGCATGTGGCAGCTGCTGGTCACGTCCACAGGGAAGAATGCCAGGACAGTGCTGGTCACGTCCCGAAGGAAGAATGCCAGCACATGGTACCCATGTCGAATGCTCAAAGGTTATGGCTAGTGCCTCTTGATCAATATCAATCATTGTGAACAGATTCCAAAGACGAAGGCGAACATTCGACAGGGTCTCATCATATCATGGGGCCAGTCATGTCGCACTGCCCATGCAAAATGCTCGAGGGAAGAATTTATGCCTTATCTAGATTTTTTTGGTCCTGGAAGACTATTGCCCGAAGACCAAGGCCAAGGCGAGCATTAAGCAGAGCTAGCGTCTGTTCTGCCAGCTGGCCGCCGGGTAATGGCCGCTACCCCGGTCACGGTCATGGCGAGGCGTTCTGGTACGCTGCGATGACGAACCCACGAACGTCCCTTTGCCGGTCCCCTGTTGGTGACCTGAGAAGTCAACAACATGTGCCCCATGTCTTGATGCTACACTCAAGTTAAGATTCTAAGCTAAGCGGCCGGTGATTTTGTTGAAGCGGCTCTGGGCGTGCTTCATGACCACTGCCGACGGGTTGTTCCAAAGACCTCGAAGGGATGTGTAGCCCGACTCACGCCGCTTCCTCAGCTCTTGTGTTTGGAAAAATAAATAATGAAAAGCTTAAGTATACCACACATGTCATCATTACATGTTCCAAGACAAGGCTATGCCGCAGCCCAGGATCCTTTCGCAGAAGAAGACGAATTCTCGGGCCAGGGCAGAGTTTTCTTGCGACAAGGAGCACATAACAGTCCAGCAAGGTTTGTCGACGTCGAGCTCCGTCAAGGTATCGTACAGCTCTGGAAGCTCGGACTTCATCTTGAGCATGGCCTGACAATTTGTCGGTCAAACGGGCAGGACTGACAAGGTAGCAGAAGGCAGCCGAACGCACCTCTGTCGGCTCCGAAGGCGAAGGCCCAGGCCCAGGAGGTGGCCCAGGAGGTGGCCCAGGAGGTGCCGAAGACGAAGCCGCGGCTGGCTGCGAAGGCGAAGAAGACGCTGGCTGCGAAGGCCAGGACTTAATCCACTTGTCCACGCCCGTGTACGCAACTGTGCAAGACAGCCTCAGGGAGTGGATTGAATGTAGGCGAAAAATAATCATTCGTTATAGCTTAGTGCAGAGACAAGCACTTTCCTAAAGGCTGGCCTGAACTCCGCGGCCTTTAAGAGCTGCCCAATCATGCTGTCGATCTTTTTGCTGGCATGTTTGAATATGGGCACCTGGTCCGGTGTCTCGAACGGATCCTCGCAAACGGAAGGACACCAAAGCTCGAGGCCGAAGACGTAGACCAAGACCAAGGCGATGCTGAGGCTGCGATGCTTGCCAGCGGCACCTGATTCAATACAATGACTCAAAGAAAAGCGTAAGCATTGAACAAACATGTGCATCTTGCGATTCGAAGATGACGAAGCTGAGCTGCAAGATAGGGCAAGGCAATGACTGACTCCTTCTCCATGGCCCGCCAGTCCGAAGGCCTTAGATCGAGGTATGGATAAAAAACCAGAGAAGTCCCAGCACCCAGCCACAAACATAATATCCTCGTCCCATAATCCAAGAAGCCAAGCCGATGACCGCAATCATGGTCCACCAGCCCTCCTCCACCATGCGAAGAAAAAATTCCTCATTCTCCAGAGGATTCCAAACCCCGATCGAAGACGAACCTGACGGGGCATACGGCAGACTCGGGCACACGAGGTTCACCTGCTAAGCTTCAAAGGTACAAGTACGTCTTCAGTACATACCTTAATAATAAAGGCGAGACACGCGAAGGCGACAGGGAACGGCCTTGATCGTCCTTGACGTTCTTAGGCCATAGCCCTCTCACATCATAGCTTGTGTGCACGGCCTTCGGGTAGAAGTGACGGACGTAGCCTCCCATCACGTCTCGTCCTTTTCCCGCAGGCCCTCTGGCACCTGAGTGATCCAGGTGTGATCGGCCAAAAGCATAACGGGCAAAAATTGCTTATGAAGACTACAAGCCAGATGCAACCCAAGTGCTCAACTTCGGGTAATCGTATTCGGCGCCGTACGCCACCACCACCCCCTGAAGGTCGATGCATTGATACTTCTCCAAGTTCGCCGACATCCTCAGAATGATTACCACCCAGCACATGTAGAACACTCATATGCTGCCGACTGCACTGAATCAATGCATTAATCTGAGCAGCACGAAGACCAAAACGAAGGCGAGTGCCAAGGCCAGGGAAGGAGCTATGGCGACCGCAGGAGGTGCAGGACAACTTCTAAAATCTGAAGTGCACAAATGCCAGCCTTCAATGATATTTACTGGACAGGACCCAGGCTAATTTGAATCTTAACCCAGATACATGAAGAGTGAGGGCGAAAGTCCTGAAAGGACCTATGTATCTATAGTACAGGAGCTAGGTTATCACATCATTATGCCCAGGCTAAACTAAATCTATGCCTAGATATAGAAGGTGGAAGTCATGAAAGGACCTATGTACCCTGATTTAAGATTAATGACATGACACTGCATGTGATCTGCGGAACCTCATGTCTGTTATGTGCACTTGAGCCCGGCCACAATCCAAGCAAGGTGTGTGCAACGCTTGCAGTCAGCAGCAACAAGCACGCATGTAAAGTACCAACACTCTCGGCAACAAGAAGAAGCTGAAGGGACCTCTTCCGGCAGGCACGCGAACCGAGACAATGATGCAGAAGAAGAAATGCTGGACCTGGCAGATGCGCAACATGGTTCCACACCAATTTTGAGCATGCTCAGCTAGGGCAGCTGCCTGCAGCCATCCGAGCGGTTCAAACAGCCAGCCTGTGATGCAAGTCTCGCAAATAAACTTTAAAATGAAAATCATGAGCCTCGAAACCGAAGACGAAATCGAAGTCGAATTTGTGGACCTGACGATCATCTAATCACTCTCAAAACGCTGAGAAACCAATAAAATAAGTTGCGGACACAGCTGTGGACGGACTCCATCGAGATGGAAAGCAGGATGATCACCCAATGGTCCAATTGACTGCCAAGCATTTGAGGAGCCAGCCCAATAAGCTGTCACCGTCGCTGTGCATGGACTCCAGGACGTAAGTTGTGACAATGGACCTCACTCATCAACAGAAAATAACCGAATCATTGAACTGAAGCTTGTAAATCTCAACCCTCAGCTCCTGGCGCCAATTTCCAAGTCGAAGCCGAAGGATGCAACCTGGCTGTGCAAGGCCACTGGAATCGATTTGGCGATGCCAGTAACCTGCCTCGAAGCCGAAACCGAAGACCTGCCAATGACATACTTGGAAATGCATTCGAAATCAAGAGCAATACTACAACTGAACCGGCCTCCAAGACCATCCAGATCAAAAATCGTCCATCGCCATAGACCTGCCAGGTTCAAGCACAATGGGGGATGTTCACCAGCATGCCTGGTGCTGGGGCCCACACCCAGCAGGCTACTGGGGCCCCGAGTGGAGCTCGCCCAGCAAGGTTGACCAGGGCTCGGTGGAGCTCACCTGGTACTGGGGCCCATAACGAGCTCACCCAGCAGGGTACTGGGGCCCCGAGTGGAGCTCGCCCAGCAAGGTTGACCAGGGGCCGGCGGAGCTCACCTGGTACTGGGGCCCAACAACGAGCTCACCCAGCAGGGTACTGGGGCCCCGAGTGGAGCTCGCCCAGCAAGGTTGACCAGGGCCCGGTGGAGCTCACCTGGTTTGCTGGGGCCGACAAGGAGCTCACCCAGCAGGTTTACCAAGGGCCCGTTTGAGCTCACCTGGTACTGGGGCCCGCCACGGAGCTCACCCAGTCACTGGGGCCAAATAGCTCACCCAGTGTTGCGGGGCCCAACAGAGCTCGCCCGCACCAGATTGGGGCCGCAAAGAGCTCGCCCAATCCATTGACTGGGGCCCGCTATGGGCTCTCCCAGTAAACCCTACCTAGATGAAAACCCATCGGCCTCCCAGCGAAGAAGTTGAAGACGTCGAGTCCTGAGAACACTGAAGGTTTAGGGTTTAATGTTTAAGGTTTTGGTTTAGGGTTCAGGGCTTGAGTTTAGGGGTTTAGGGGTTTGGTTTTGGGTTTAATTAGTATAGGTTTTAAAAGTTTAGTATAGGGGTAAGGGTGTCAGTGTAGGGTTTAGGCTTTTTGGTTTAGGGTGCAGGGCTTGGGTGGTTAAGGCGTAGGGTTTAAGCTTTAAGGTTTGGGTTTCGGGTTCAGGGCCTGGGTTGAGGGTTTAGTGGTTTGGGTTTAGGGTTTGGGTTCAATTAGGGTTCAGAGCCTGGGTTTAAGGTTTATTTAAGGGTTTAGGGGTTTGGTTTTAGGTTTATTTGGTTGGTAGAGGTTTCAAAAGATTTAGTGGTTACAGGTGTAGGGTTTAGGGTCTTTAAAACATTGCGCCACCCCCAAACCCAAACTCCAAAGAACTAAGCCCTAAAAACCCTTACGTAAAATGGAAAACTACAAACCCTCAAACCCTGAATGCGCCAACCCTATACTAAATTAAATTAAACTCTTAGATCAAAACTACCGAATACCAAACCCCTGACCCCCCTAAACCCCGATCGTCTGAGATCCGCGCGGGTCTCAGACGGCGGAGATGTCGACGTTCGGGCCGTTCAGCTGCGGGACTCTGAGCGAGGTAAAATTACTTTAATAAACCAATATGCCAAACGACAACGAAGACCAAACCCTAGTAAACCAGGACGAAAGCGAAGACCAACCCTAGAATAACCCAAGCCCCAGGTATTAAAATCATCCCTAAAACACAGCCCCTAAATTCCACTTATATTCTTGGGGCCCCTGTATGATTTAAGGAACCCTGATGTAAGGGCGAAGCAACTATACAAGTAGATCTAACCTGCTTCATGGTAAGTTCCCTTCAAAGTCGGTACTCGGTCCTAGTTCTGCTGCTACGGCAGGTTGAGGCGGTTGAGGTTCACAAGCCTGTGACTGGGCTCCCTGGAAAGTTCACGGAGCATCGCGCATCCTTAAATTTGCTCAGAGGCCGAACTGCTCGATGGCATCCTTACCTGTGTACAACTCAGCCGCAATGATACCAATGGCTGCGAACATCGCGAATCTGCCGTTGTTAATCTCCCGCTCCCTCATCTCCTATCGTCGGATAGTACAGGGAGTTAACAACTAGACTTTGGCTTTGGGGTTTATCATACGTTAGTAATGATTTGGAGCCCTAAGGAACCGTATCAGTAATTATTCCTACTTCTATACTGTTAAAGGCTTTAA